ACACACACACATACATGTGCAGCTCTCAGGAATCAGCAGATTGTGTTGCAGTGTATGATTTCTGTGTTTTATAATCTGTGCATTTATAAAACCTTTACTAAACCACATCTGGTTTCTGTGTGAAGCTGCTTTGACACAATCCACAATGTAAAAGCGCTCGAGAAATGAAGATGAAGTGAGGTGAATAACAGGTCTGCTGCAGTATTGACCAGCACAGATATCGGGATTCTTCAGGTAAATATACTGTGTTCAGCATGTCAATATGAGCATCTGCAGCACAGCACACAGGTAGAGTTCAGTTCCTCATGTTGTGCAGATCCCACACACTGTCTGATCATCAGCGTCTGCAGGTGAGATGCAGGAGTGTGTGTGTGTGTGTTCTCACTGATAGATGTGATTTAGCTGAACCCTGCAGTGTTTGAGCAGCTCGTGTCTTCCTGAAACTCTGGCTGATTGTTTTCCAGCAGCTTCTGTGAAAGCAGCACAGGACCTGATTGAAAACAACATCATCGTTCTCACAGACTGTCTGTGCTGATCTGTGTGTGTGTGTGAGTTCAGTAGAGCTCAGCAGATGCAGGTCATTTAGGAGCTTGGGGTCGTGTTGATGCGATGATGCATTAATATCTGCACTGATGATGCATTAATATCTGCACTGATGATGCATTAATATCGGCACTGATGATGCATTAATATCTGCACTGATGATGCATTAATATCGGCACTGATGATGCATTAATATCTGCACTGATGATGCATTAATATCGGCACTGATGATGCACCAATATCGGCACTGATGATGCATCAATATCGGCACTGATGATGCATTAATATCGGCACTGATGATGCATTAATATCGGCACTGATGATGCATTATTATCGGCACTGATGATGCATTAATATCGGCACTGATAATGCATTAATATCGGCACTGATGATGCATTAATATTGGCACTGATGATGCTTTAATATCTGCACTGATGATGCATTAATATCGGCACTGATGATGCATTAATATCGGCACTGATGATGCATTAATATCTGCACTGATGATGCGACAATATCGGCACTGATGATGCATTAATATCGGCACTGATGATGCATTAATATCGGCACTGATGATGCATTAATATCTGCACTGATGATGCAAAAATATCGGCACTGATGATGCATTAATATCTGCACTGATGATGCATTAATATCTGCACTGATGATGCATTAATATCGGCACTGATGATGCATTAATATCGGCACTGATGATGCATTAATATCAGCACTGATGATGCATTAATATCGGCACTGATGATGCATTAATATCTGCACTGATGATGCAAAAATATCGGCACTGATGATGCATTAATATCTGCACTGATGATGCATTAATATCTGCACTGATGATGCATTAATATCGGCACTGATGATGCATTAATATCTGCACTGATGATGCATTAATATCGGCACTGATGATGCATTAATATCTGCACTGATGATGCATTAATATCAGCACTAATGATGTATTAATATCAACATTGAGGAAGCATTAATCATTACTGGTGCTTAAATATTTGGACAGATGATGCGTTAATCTCAACTAATAATAATAATTTTTTTAATCAAAATAGTAATTTGGTTTAATTATAAAATCAGATTAGAATAGTTTCTAAAGCTGTGTATGTGTGTGTGTGTGTGTGTGTGGTAGTTTCCCCCCTTTACACTTGACCTGAGTTCAGTGTGCATCTGCTAATGAAGCTGATGAATAAATGATCTTCAGTGTGTCTCCAGGCGACTCTCGCTGTCTCCGCTCCTTCATAACCTTTCCTCCAGCACAATCACACCATAATACTCTGTAAAAAGAT